TATTAAGTCTAGTACTTTTTTGATGAAGTTTTTAGGGTTTTCTATGTACAATATTATGTCATCTGACAATAATGACAGTTTTACTTCTTTTCCAATTTGGATGTCTTTTAATTCTTCTTCTTGTCTGATTGCTATGGCTAGCACTTCCAGTACTATGTCAAACAGGAGTGGTGAGAGCGGGCATCCCTGTCTTATTCCTGTTCTTAGGGAAATGGTTTTAGTTTTTGCCCATTGAGTATGATGTTGGCTGTAGGTTTGTCATATAAGGCTTTTATTATGTTGAGGTATGCTGAGAGTTTTTATCAAAAAATTGTGTTGGATTTTGTCAAATGCTTTTTCTGCATCAATTGATACACTTATGTGATCTTTGTCTCTCAATTTGTTGATGGGATGTATAACATTTATTGACTTGTGGGTATTATACCAGCCTTGCATCCCTGGAATAAATCCCACTTGATCATGGTGTATGATCTTTCTAATGTAATGCTGGATCCAATTTGCTAGGAGTTTGTTGAGGATTTTAGCATTTATGTTTATCAGGGATATTGGCCTCTAATACTTTCTTGGTGGTGTCTTTATCTGGTTTTGGGATTAGGGTAATGCTGGCTTCATAGAAAGAGCTTAGAAGTGTACCTTCCTATTGAATTTTTGGAATTGTCAGAGGAGTATAGGTTTTAGTTCTTCTTTGAATGTTTGGTAAAACTCTCCTGTGAAGCCTTCCAGACCAGGGCCTTTGTTTGCTGGAAGTTTTTTAATTACTGCATTAATTTCATTGGTAGTTATCAGCCTATTCAGGTTTTTTTATTCTTCCTGGTTGAGTTTTGGAAAGTTGCATTTTTTAGGAATATGTCCATTTTATCTTGGTTGTACAGTTTGTTGGAGTAGAGTTGTTCACAGTATTTTTTTTTTTTTTTACAATTTTTGGTATGTCTGTGGGGTCAGTTGTTACTTCACCTCTTTCATTTCTGATTTTGTTTATTTGGGTCCTCTCTGCTTCTTGGTGAGCCTGGTCAGAGATTCATCAACTTGTTTATCCTTTCAAAGAACCAGCTCTTGGTTTTATTGATCTTTTGTATTGTTTTTTTGGTCTCTATGTCATTTATTTCCTCTCTGATCTTTATTATTTCGTTCCTTCTGCTTACTCTGAGCTTTTCTTATTGCTCTCTTTCTAATTCTTTAAGTGTAGGGTTAGATAATTTATTACCATTTTTTCTTGGTTTTTTTTTGAGGTAGGCCTATAGTGCTCTGAACTTCCCTCTCAGAACTGCTTTCACTCTGTCCCATAGATTTTGGATTGTTGTGTTTTCATTGTCATTTGTTTCCAAGATGCTTTTTATTTTCTCTTTGATCTCTTTGATAACCCAATCATTTTTAATAGCATGCTATTAAGCTCCCAAATGCTTGATTTTTTTATTGTGTTTATTGTAGTTGATTTCTAATTTTATGCCATTGTGATCTGAGATGCTTAATATGATTTCAATCTTCTTGAATTTGAAGAGACATTGCCTGTGTCCCAATATGTCATCTGTCTTTGAAAATGTCCCGTGTGCACTTGAGAAGAATGTATATCCTGAGGCTTTGGGGTGAAATGTTCTGAAGATGTCAATTAGTTCCATCTGATCTAGTGAGTCATTTAGGATTGCTGTTTCTTTGCTAATTGTTTGTTTAGAGTATTTATCCAGTGGTGTCGATGGGGTATTAAAGTCCCCTACTATGACTGTATTGCTGTCGATCTCTCCCTTCATATCTTCCAGAAGTTTTTTTTTTGTTTTTTTTTGTTTTTATGTATTTGGATGCTCCTGTATTGGATGCATATACCTTTGCCAGAGTTATATCCTCTTGTTGAATTGCTCCCTTTAGTATTATGAAGTGGCCCTCCTTATCTCTTGTTATGGCCTTCACTTTAAGGTCTATTTTGTCAGATATAAGTATTGCTACCCATGTTTTTTTTCATTTCCATTTGCCTGAAAAATATTTTTCCATCCCTTCACTATCAGGCTGTATGAGTCCTTTGTCCTGAGGTTGGTTTCTTGTAGACAGCAAATATTTGGCTCATGTTGTCTTTTCCATTCAGCCACTTGATGTCCTGGGCATCTTTGCCTTTGTTGGCCCCTTCCTCAGTAAAACATATTTAAAATTATATTTTATGACCATGATGATATAAAGACATACATTTCTAAACAGATATATCATTTTATGCTTATTATCTTCATTTTTATTCACATTTAAAAAGTATTAAAATCGCTTTCATTTTTAGGGACCACTGTAAGTGTCATTGTCACTGTTCCTTCTGTAATCAACAGATAAGAGCCTTGACTGTAAGAGTTTTCTTTCTAATTTGTTTTGCCTTTGGACATTTCTCTTCTCCTCCACTTCCCAATCATCTCATCACTTTTTCAGTGGTGATAATGTGTACTTTGATTTCTCCACCCAGATTCCAAATCTCTTTTTATCATTTTCTAAGAAAATGTCCTTTTTTCAGCAGGCAACCTTTTAATATCTCTCTTAGAGTAGTCGGCCTGGTATACATTTATCTTCTTCTCAAGCAGAGCCGGGCTTGATCAGAGAGCTTCTACTGAATTGAAAGAGTGCAGTTTAATATGACCCAGGCTTTTGAATGATAGCAGTGCTAATATGCTCCTCATCCTATTATCTAGCACAAATGAAAAGCCTGCTCTTTCTCCTGCAGTCCTGAAATAAATTTTAAAATACATATGAGTAGTAATCTTTTCTTACATTAAAAGAGGGCACATCAGGGAATCTAGTAATTTTGGAAAATATTAACTTGTCTTACCTTTTTCAAGTTCTAAGACCAACGAACATGGAAGCTGAGCATTATTACATGAAAAGTTTGGACCAGTCAGTGCAACATTTCTGTTTTGAGAACCTATATGTGCTGTGCTGTGCCTTAGGTACTGGGGATATACAAATCATGAGCAAAGCATTATTTCTACTCTTGAGGAACTTAAAGTCTACATGAGAAAATAAATACAGCAACAAATAATATAAATGAAGTTTGTTAAATTCTATGATAGAAAACACATAAGGAATGAGTATTATGTGAGCAGAGGACACTTCAGGGACTATCCCCAAGTATGTTTTCACTTCACATGAGGGTTATCATACACCCACATCCACATCAATGTAACTATATATCTGTAGGTAGAGTATATTTCTCTGTCCCGTTATCAGACTTGGCTGTTTGACTTGCGTTGCCCAGTGGAACATAAGCAGAAGTGACACTGTGCTAATCACAGCCCAAGCTTTAACATGAACTGTTTGTTGCGGCATTGTTTCTTGCAGCTCTTCCCTTTGAACATTGCACATCCTAGACAGAAACAATTCCTTCTTCTTGTATCTTAGCATAAGAATATATGTGCACTCAAACAGTAGTATAAGCAGGCTGAACTGCAACAAAACTGGTCCACACATCCATGAGCAAAAAACAAATGCTTTTTGGGGGGTAAAATATTGAGATTTTAAAATTATTATTACATAAAAGACTGACCAGACAAATAAGTTAGGCCATCATAGTTTATCACAGATTTTCTATATGACCATCCATACATCTGGATCTTAGAAGCAGAAAGTATACTACTTGACTGGCATTAATACAATTACTTGGAAAACAGAATAACAACAAAAACCCATGATGGTTTACCATGATTTTTTTAAAAAATATAGAAGATCATATCATAAAAATATACAAAAAAAATCTGATTTTGTGAACTTCTTGTGGAATGTGTACACTCATTCATTTCTGCTAGCACTGTAATTGGCCCCAAGTCTTCAGGAAAGTAATTGTGTGAACTGTAAAAATATTTTTGTTTTGGTCCAATAATATTATTCCTGAAAATATGTTGTTAATAAAATGATTTTTTAATGAGATAAAAGTATCCCATTCATTATCTATATTGGCATACAGTTATAAAATTATGCACAACTATACAAGTATTAGGTAAATTATGGCAAATCAGTTTTATGGAATGTTATGAAAGTTGTCCTCATGAGCACCTTATAGCAATTGGGCAAAGATTTATAAAATAATGTCAAGGGAAAAGAACAGACTAACTTGGAATACACACTGCAGGGTGAGGCAAAAGTAGGTTTACTGTTGTGAATATGCAAAACAGAGTTTATCCTTGCATTATTATTTATTAATTATTGTATTTCCCATATGAACAACTGTAAGCCTACTTTTGCCCCACCCTGTATAATTATAATTCTGTAAAATATGTAAGATATAAACTAAAATGAATATTGGAAGAAGTCCTTGATATCCCAGCACCCTAATCCAACTAATATCAATACCTTCTTTTTTTAATGTATTTTATTTTTAGAGCAGTTTTAGATTCAAAGCAAAAGTGAGAGGAAAGTATAGAGACTTCCCATATACCTCTGCCTCCACACATGCATAGCTTACCCCACTATCAACATTCCTTCCCAGAGTGGTACATTTGTTACAGCGATGAACCTGCATTGACACATAATCACCTAAGCTAGGTGGGAAACACTGATCTGCTTATTGTCTCCAAAATTTTGTTTCTTGATGCGTCTTGAAATGGGACTGAAAAAGACAAAACCAACTACAATGGCAAACACACAACACTGTGCCAGCAATCCTCCTATAGTCATGTGTTTGGTCTCTCATGCCAAAAATTCTCCAAAATTTTGGTGTAAATATATGTCTAATTCACAAAATTGGCTTTGCTTATTCTAATCAGAAGCCTTGACCAAAGTATTTTTGAACTGGAATTATATTTTAAAAGACAGAGAACCAAACTAGAAACTATAATATATTTGATGCAATTAAAACAATTAAGATTTAGCCTAGAGAAGAGATTTAAGGAGGTGAACAATTATTCTATGAGTAAATGAAGATTTTAATTATTCTATGTGAAAGAATAGGCAGAAATGTAAACAATGGGTAGAAATTAGAAAAAAATCTTTCAAACTCATAAAAGGGAAAGGCTAAAGAATTGTTCCAGGTTGAAATAAAATAAAGGTAAATGTAATGTTTAATCCTGGAATAGATCCTGGACCAGAAAGAAAAAAGACGGTTGATACAGGGAGGAAAGTTCTGGGGGAATCTGAGGATTAGATAGTATTGTTGCATCGATGGTTATTTCCTTTATGAATAGTTGAGTGATGGTAACATTGCAGAGCATCCTTGTTCTTAGGAAATATACACTGGAGAATTTGTGGGTGATGGCACAGCATGTCTGAAGCTTGTTCTTGAATGGTTCTGAAAAAGATTAATAAGATATTAGTAGATAGAAAACAACTGTGGCAAAATGTTAGGAATTCAGAAAATCTAGGTGAAAGTTATAGATGTTACAACTTTCATGTAATCTTGAAATTATTGTAACAAATTATATAAAAATTAAACTTCAGAAAGAGTCAGGAACATTTCATTATGAGGAATTAAACTTATGTTGTCCCAGTTTGATAGTCCCCCCATGCCTCTGGCAGAACCAAATCAAACCCTCTCTAGATTAAAGAATCTTCATCCAAGTTCCTCAAGAGTCTCCAAGGTCAAGTTCAAATAATTATGATCTTGCAATAAAAATTTACCAAATACACAAATAAGTAATTCACCAACAAAGAGGCAGCAGAAATAAAAAACAAGAAATTGTGAACTCTCAATACTTTAGCTATTGAGATTTTTGGACGAAGCATATAAAACTATATTTAATTCATTTAAAGAAATAAAATCTAGAATCCCCCCCCCGACCCCCCACCCCCAAATGAGCAAGACATAATGTGCTGTCAAAAATACCAGGCATATTTGTCAATGTACCAAGATATCCTCCAAAAATAAAAAGATAATTAATGGAATTTAAAACTCAGTTGTTTGTAAGGATAACCAATGGAAAATAATTTAACTGGAAAACAGATCTAAAAAACTGTTACTCAGATGCAGCCCACAGATATGAAAAGATAAGAAATACGAAAGAGCCGTAGCAACCTAAAAGACAGAATAAGGTCTAACACATTCCAATTGCATTTCCAGAAGAGACAAAAACAAAGAATGAGAAAAAGGTAAGGTTGGACGAGATAATGGCTGAGAAAAAATTCACTGGCACAAAACTGATTAAGAATGATACATATATATAAAACCATGCCTAGACACACCAAAATCAAATTTCAGAGCAATTAAGACATAAAGATCATAAAAGCATACAAAGTACAAACCTAAAAGCTAATTACTTTCTTTTTCAATAGCAATGCCAAAAATAGAATAATCTCTTTAAAGTGCTGAGATAAAGTAAATATTAACCTAGAAGTGTGTAATTTATGAGATTTCACACAGTTATGCTTTATGTTACCTTAATGATGTGTATTGGACCATATTGTTAATTTGACCCTTGACAAAAGGCCATGTTTTAATCAGACTTTGTTAATTCAAGCTTTGCTCAATTTTGTCTTTCAGTGTTTGAGATTAAGTAACAGTTGCCTCTTCTAATTTCCTGAGTCAAGAACTATGGGCTCTCTCTATTCATTCCTGCTTGTAAATTGGTCTCTGAGAACTTATTTCTTTTCTTTTTTTAATTTGTCTTTATTGTTGAAAGTATTACAGATGTCCCTCTTTTTTCTCTATTGAGCCTATCCACCCCACAACCCCTCCCTGCCTAGGCCTTCACCATACTATTGTCTGTATCCATGGGCTCTGCATATATGGATACAAGTTCTTTGGTTAATTTCTCCTCACCCACCCACCTATCCCAGCCTTCCCTCTGAGATTCTTCAGTCTGTTCCATGCTTCTATGTCTCTGGAACCATTTTGTTCATCAGTTTATTTTGTCCATTAGATTCCACATGTGAGTGAGATCATGTGATACTTGTCTTTCTCTGACTGGCTTATTTCACTTAGCATAATACTCTCCAGATCCCTTCATGCTATCTCAAAGGGTAAGAGAGCCTTCTCTTTTTACAGCTGCCCAGTATTCCATTGTGTAAATGACCACAGCTTTTTTATCCACTCATCTACTGATGGGCACTTGGGCTGTTTCCAGATCTTAGCTATTGAAAATTGTGCTGCTATTTCTTTTAATAACTTACTAAAGACAGACATAACAACCAACACCCACCAAACAAAAAAAACTCTTTTCTGATCCCCGTCTTTTATAGTAAGAATTTTGTCGAGTAAAAGATCCTTATTCCAAGAAACCAAAGGCATCGTTTTCATTGAATGTTTTGCCACAGAACAAAATGAACTGCCATCTTTCCAGCCTCAGATAGCTATTTGCTCACTGTCCACAGTCTCATCATTTATCTGACACCAATTGCTTTCTATATTTTAGGTGCTGTTAGGCATCCAACTTTGAGTACAAACTCCTGCATAGGTCAAGATGACCTTGATAATAAACAGTCCCCAAGATCTGTCTAAAAACAATAAAGGTTTATTTCTCAACCCACAGGTTGTCTAGGCTCTATTTCACATCATACTTAGTGATGCAAGATGAGAAAGAATCTACAATTGGAAATGTCACTTGTATGGTAGAAATCAAGATGATTGTCCAGAACCCTCTTGGGGGAAGTCCAGTACTTTCTGCCTAGCTATTTAAAGGGACACACACACACACACACACACACACACACACACAGTAATCAAGATAAATCATATTTTAATGAAATATTTAAAAATCAAAATAATAAAAAAAACATCAAATTTTAAATAGAGACTGGCTTCAGGGTCAGCTTCAGCTGCACAAATCCCCTTTGCCCAAGGTCACCATTTTTATAACTAAACATCTAGAGCAGTGGTTCTCAACCTTCTGGCCCTTTAAATACAGTTCCTCATGTTGTGACCCAACCATAAAATTATTTTCGTTGCTACTTCATAACTGTAATGTTGCTACTGTTATGAATCATAATGTAAATATCTGATATGCAGGATGGTCTTAGGCGACCCCTGTGAAAGGGTCGTTCGACCGCCAAAGGGGTCGCGACCCACAGGTTGAGAACCACTGATCTAGAGCAATATTCATGATATAATCCTACATTAGATTAAAATATTTTATATGTATAATACTAGAAAAAATGCATGCACATATGCACAAAATATTTATACTTGTTTCTTTGAGCATTTTATGTCATCTGGTTCCCTAATTTTTTAATAAATGTTATAACATTTGTTAAATGATTATTGTTTTTAGTAACTGTGAATATAACAGTATATCTCTATAATGCTATAACCTAAAGGTATACTTCCACTGATTAAATGTAACCTGACAAATATTCAACCAAAACACTAAGTCCATACAAAAAATGCAGGACAACCCACTCCCTTTGTTTCCCCAGGCTGGAATTTAAATGTCAAAATCTTAATGTTATAAAATATTTTATGTGCTTTAAATAAATGAATGAATACAATGAAATCATCACTCTGTTCTCTCAAACTAGTAAATGTGCTCATGGCATAATAAGCTTCTGATCTCTATAGTGTGCAAAGCAACTGATTAGATACTTCTCAGGTCATACTGGCTCTTTAATTCATTCCCAGTTAATCATCTTGACCTGATGTGGGTAACAAAAGTGGGTTTTGACAATCTATTACACCCTAAATCAAACATGATAGAGTAAATCCGAGAAGAAAACATTTATTAGGAATTTCTATTACATTACGTAGTAGCACTCATTGTGTTGTACTTCAGCTGGGTAATGCTGGCAGGATGACATCTCAGACCTACTCAATGAACAGGCTCCTGAGAAAGTCTTTGGGAAGGAGAGTTGGGTTGAAGTGGGCCAGGTGTCATTTTTATAGCTAAAGTAGGTGTTATGAGTGCTGCTTGTATGACATTGAAGCAACAGGTCAGGCTAGTCAACTCTGAAAAAAGCCTTTTCACAGATTAATGTCATTATGACCCAGTCACCACCTGTAGCAGGTAAATGCAACAATACTGTAGAAAGGCCAACATGGTGAAAACTCTGCAATAACCACAGCTTTACTAAGGATCCTCTAACTTCTCTTTCTGGCATCTGCTTTCCACCTGGTGCTGTATCTCTGCTAAAGCAAAGACTCTTAGTGCATTATGTTCTCCCTCCCCTCCTCTCACCATCTAAACTCTTTTCAGGCAATGCCCCTTTGGAAAGAGTCAGAGAAGTAAAGCCACGCTGATATATTTGACTGAACTAATATATTAACTATTTCTAATGAAATGTCTTTCTAGCAACCACTTTTACCAGATGGCATAAGAACCTCTCTCAAGTTTTTTGTTCATTGTCTGTTTCCCTCCAGTTGAGCGCAAACTTCATGAGCGCAAAGACCCTGTTTAACTCATTGTTGAATCTCCAGCGAGCCTAAGAAATACCACTATGTAATTAATGCATCAAAGTGCTCAACAGTCTCTCCAGATGCAGATGGAGGTAAAGCATTAATATAGTTTAGAAAAGCCAGCCTAAAGTGGAAGCTGTAACCAGGAAAATGAACAATCATCTGTCCTTGTTTGCACACCCACCATCCTGGGATTGCTTCTAACTGTTCATATCTCTTCTTTCCCAGGTTTCACTAGCTAAAGAACATCATAGCTTCTTGTCTGAACCAAAAAACAGAGCCAAAACTTTCTCACTTGTGATCTCACTTATTTCATGTTATTTGTAACGCTGATTTGTTTAATTTCTTCTATGTTTGATTAGTTTCTTCTATTAATTTTTTTCTAGTACATTAAGATATTTTGAGATTTTAAAATTGCTGAGGTAGACAAGACACGGAGATAGGTATGGGAATCTATTAAGGTGTGCTGGTAGTTTTCATTATTTTTCAGAAATTTAACACTATTGCCCAAAGTTAGAACCTCTGAAACATTGGATCTACAATTGAACATTAAAGAATGCATGTGATCTCTTGCCCAAATCGAAGTCCAGTTTAATAGAAATGTTAAGCATTATTTTGAGAACATGTCCCTACTGATTTTTTAAAAATTTCATTTCTCATGAGAGTAAAGATCTATTTTCTGAACACATTTCATCAACTGTGTATCTTTCAGCAAGACTACTAAATTCCAACTTTCTTCCTTCAGTCATTTTTTTAAACATTAACTAAAAGAAGACAGTCAAATCAAACTCCTTATTTTCTCCCTCCTGAGATTTACTGATCCCCTCTAATACTTCAATTTGCTACTTCTTTCCAGTTGCTATATTCATCTTCATATTCACAAAAATGAAGCCTTCCTAAATAAATCCATCTGATTTGCTGCTTCTTCTGTAACTCTTGCAAAAGTCACCACCAAAGGGTATCTTACT